TAGAGAAGACGCTTGCCAGAGCACTCCTTTAACAATGTGCGCAAACTTTTCAGAGCTTCGACTCCTATCATAGGCGGCAACCCTTAAGGCAGGGGCCGCCCTCTGTAGCGGCCTGCGGGAAACTAATGGAGGGAAGGCGCTGGCCCTTCGTAACTTCCTCGCGGTTGGCATGGGGCCCGCATTAGATTCCGCCGGTTCCCTTCGCTGCTGGGAATCTAGTCGAGATCAGCACAAGCCAGGCGCGGGGCCTCGCAGTGTTCAAGTTTGCGCGCGAGGCTGATGCCTGGGACCTTGTCCCCGCCACTCGTTGGCGCACAGTCCTCGCAGCTCGCCAAAAAGGGCGACTTTTTTCGAGCTGGGGAGGTGGCCCGAAGGACGGGGTCGCCCTCTGTAGGGGCCTGCGGGAAACTAATGGAGGGAAGGCGCTGGCCCTTTGTAACTTCCTCGCGATTGGCACGAGGTCCCAGCGAGGTCCCGCCGGTTCCTTTCCTTACTGGGAACGCAGTCGAGAACAGCGCAAACCACGCACGAGATTCCGCGGCGCTCGTGTTTGCGTGGGAAGCTGCTGCCTGGAACCTGGCTGCCGCCATAAGGTGGCGCGCAGTCCTCGCGATTCGCTTAAAGGTGCTACTCTCTTCGAGTTGGGAAGGTGATCCCCTTAAAAAGCCGCCTTCTTTCGAAGTCCTGACAGTCCGCGACCGTGCGCTCGTTTGTTTGCCTGTCGCGGGGCTGATGCCTTAGCATTTGCCTCCGCCATTAGATGGCGCGCAGCCCTCGCAGCTCCCTCAAGAGTGCTACTCCCTTCGGGCTGGGAAGGTGATCCACCTAAAAAGTCGCCTTTTTTCGAGGCCTCGACTGTCCGAAGTCGTGCGCCCGTTTGTTTGCCTGTCGCGAGGCTGATGCCTGGGGCCTTGTCTCCGCCATTCGATGGCGCGCAGCCGTCGCAACTCGCCAAGAGTGCTACCCTCTTCGTGTTGGGAAGGTGGTCCGCTTAAAAAGCCGCCCGCTCTCGAAGCTCTGGCCGTCCGCGATCGTGCGCTCGTTTGTGTGCCTGTCGCGAAGCTGGTGCCTGGGGCCTTGTCTCCGCCATTAGATGGCGCGCGGTCGTCGCAACTCGCTTAGAAGAGCTACTCTCTTCGGGTTGGGAAGGTGATCCCCTTAAAAAGTCGCCTTCTTTCGACGCCCTGACTGTCCGCGATCGTGTGCTCGTTTGTTTGCCTGTCGCGAAGCTGGTGCCTGGGAGCTTGTCCTCGCCATCAGGTGGCGCGCAGTCCTTGCAATTCGCTTAGAAGTGCTACTTCTTTCAAGTTTGGAAGGTGATCCCCTTAAAAAGTCGCCCTTTTTTTCGTGGCCGGGGCTGTCCGCGGTCGTGCGCCTGTTCATTTGCTTGTCGCGAAGCTGGTGCCTGAGGCCTAGACTCCGCCATTAGATGGCGAGAAACCCTCGCAATTTGCTCAAAAGTGCTACTTTCTTCGAGTTGGGAAAGTGATGCCCTTAACAAGCCGCCCCCTTTCGAAGCCGTGGCTGTCGGGGCTCCTGTCCGCGATAAGTCGATAACAGACGCGCAGCGCAGGCCTGCCTAGCAGCCGGCCCGCGATGGGTCGCTGACTAGCGGGCCGCCGCTACTAGGCATCCCCCCGCAGCAAGATGGGCAGCCGCTGGCGAGTTTGTAGCCAAAGCCCCTCGAAAACCCGGGAGAAGGCCGCCACTGGAGAATAGGACCACGAGCCCACCGACACCGGCCAGGCTTCGGGCCTGGTGCGACAAGCCTGTCAGCCGGTCGCCGCGGTTTCCCTTTTCGCTGGCTGCGGCAGCGCTGCAACGGCCAAAAAAGCCCTGGACTTTCTTGGAGCTCTTCCGACGAAGTGCCCGAAGGCTTCCTTTTTGCGCCATCCCGTGCGGCGTTTCGCTACTCGCGAGCGCAAGCGGGCGACTTTTGTCCCCGGGGGCCGCGATTGAGGGTGGCGTAGCTCCTCCGGGGGTTTTGAAGGACAGTGCCGCCCCCCGGAGAGGCCCGCGGGAAAACTGACAGGGGTGGGGCCTCCCGCTTGCAGCCTAGTCGCGATCGGGCCCGCGGCGCCACTATATTCCCCCCGCCGTCAATGTAGCCAGGAAGCTGTTGGGAATCGCGGTCCACCTGCTCTTGGCTTTTGGGGAGTTTGTACGAAGGACTCCCAGAAAAGCGGGAAGCGAAGCGGCTGCGGAGCTAAGAACCACGAGCCCGCACGAACGAAGCACTCACGCTTTTAAAGTCTGTCCTCTCTTTACATTTGTAGAAAACACTTTATTACCCCCATGCATATACTGGTAACACAAGCAACTGAAGGAACTACACCACCAACTAATACCTCTCCCCATCAGAGTAGCTCTCTCTCAACACCCAATCGATATGATGTTGATCTGATTGTTTGCTTGCTATAATTTGCTGTTGATCTGATTGATTGCCTGCTTGCTTGCTCGCCTGATGTTCCTTCATGCTCGGACACGCCTGAAATATGTAGCTAGTTTAACAACAAGGAAAAGGGCAACGGAAATACCCACTTAAGGCAATCCATAATATCTCTTGGTTAGAGCTATACTTAAGACTACATAGGTTCTAAGTACTCTTTCAACTCTCGGGGTAGCTATTACAGGGTGTCAGCCTTATACAATACTTAAAGGTTGAACGCAGATGCACACACGTCGCTGCAAATACTTAACTCATGAATTAGGCTTTTTGTTGACATTGTCCTTGTTACTTCTTCATTAATCCTTAGGTAATTCAGGGGGGCACACCTACAGGGGGAACCTGGGAGAGCAAGACATTTATACAAGTATATCGATATCGCAAAGTTTTAGTTCTTGACGGAGGTCGTCGGAGGCTGATCTTGGTGAGCTAGCACCCATAAGCAAGGTCGGCTACACCGTCCCGACATCATCGCGAGCACCTACCCTATTCCTTTCTCCCTGGTAGGACCTTATGTGGCTGACATCAAGAACTTTTACTTTTGAGCGCTCTAGGCTTTATTTTTAGTGCTTGTTTTATATGTGTTTTCCTGACTTGTGTTTATTCTACTTCCTTTTCACATTCCTTTGTCTAATGACTATGTCTATGTTTAGTCTGCCATCTCCTTCGAGCCTAATTTACACCTTCTATTTGCCTCACCGTAGTTACTCATCCTCAACCTTTCCAACCCAAAAAAACCTTAGGAAAACACAGCCCTCCCGCAGGAGGGTTTTGTCTTCCTGTGTTCAGCCTTTTTTTTCATCTCATGTGTGAAGTATTTTTTTCGACTGTCTAAGGTCTACAGGCTTACTATCTGGGGAAGGATTTGCCTCAACAGCGTGTTTTTTTCACGAAATATTTTCCGGAGAAAAGAGCGGGGTCATGAAGATGAAAAGCCTCCGACATATATGAGCAACAGCTTGAGAATACTTCTATGCGATGGGAAGATCCTACAGTCCCGACCGACGGTTCTCATCGTGTTCGTGTTGAGCAATCAGGCAGCACAAGGTCTCTGGAGGGTATTGGTATAGGTGGATCTTCGACTTGGACACCAGATCGAGAGACACGAGAAAACCGCCTTAAGGAATTTCCCACTCCCGTTAGATCTTACATGGCTGAAGACTGCCCACAGGCCGATCTACCGTATCACATAACCGCATCATGTGTTCGCTTCAGAGGATTGCGCGTCAGACTTCCCGCTGGGTATTTCAATGGATTTATTGCGGGAAACTGTCGACCCAGGTACCAAAAAAGAAAAGGTGCCAGGGTGAAGCACGTGAATGAATCAACCTGCCCAACCCAAAACATTAGGAGGCGCAGATAGTTCTATGTGTAAAATTCTCTTTATTTCTGTGGCCTTTGTGTAAAATCAAAAAGACGCTCAAGTTCATGGGCCTCGTTCAGACCAAAGTGCCAGGTGCACCGACGTCGCGAGAATTGAAGTGTAGATCTGTTCGGCGGCACCGTCCATGTCGGGAAGCGCGGCGAGGTGGAATGCGGCCATTCTACTACCTTCCCATTATGGTTGATGCTGTAACTATCTTAAACCAATGACGACGACGAGTAACAAGAAGTGTCGGCTGCTGCCCTTGTCCTCGTAAGACACGTCGCGATTCAATCAAGGACTAAAAAGTGAAAGTTACGTATGAATATCCCTTTCCCTGCACTGCCTTTCCCTACACTGTATAATAGCATGTGCCCCGCCTGTGTAATAGTAATGTAGTACCCTCGTCATGGAAAATTGCCGTGTCTGTAGCCTGGTATAATTAAGCAAGTCGATGAGAAGGATCCCGAAGCTAATCTTATTTTGCTACTACAACTGCAACAAATTGATTCTTCCTTGTCATGTTGTATGATCATTTTGCACCTTGTAGCGTCTACGAGTTCATTTTTTCAACAAGTGCGAGGCATTGCTGCAACAAATTTAGCTACTGGGGTATCGTTTTGAAACTGGTGTCAATCATAGGTTTTGCGACTGAGGTTTTCTACTAGGACTCTGCGGATGAAGATTGAGTCCTCCAAAGTATACAGTTTCTTACAACTTGACTTTCCCTCAACGTCTTGCAACTCCCGCTAGTTGTTGTAAGCAATCTGTATAGCGTAGAAGTCGAGCTGCTCTCCGTAGTTCCTTCTTTCCACCACGTCATGCGAAAAATAGTTTCTTAGTTTACAGTATGAGCAGTCGATTATGATAAGCTGTGGAAAACTAAAACGCCTTACAAGAACAGTAGTAGTAGAGGTGGACGGTTGACCCAAAGTTCAACTTTTTCTCCGTCTGCTAAAGATTCACTGCTAGAGTATATATTAATGTACAACTACCAAGTTCTCCCCATCATTATAACGAAGAACTACTGAGTACTTCTAGACGCGCTGTTGCCGTCGGTATGACCGAAATGAATACCAACGGCGGAAATGGATAACAACACAAGCACTTCTACTAGGCCATCAACGTCCAAAAGATATCATGATGAAGAACTACGGAGCACACCAAGGAGATGTAAGCAGCATGATGTTGAGGAGGGTAGAACAACATCTTCACGGGGAGGTGCAGGAGGTGGAAAAGAACAGTGGCATCCTTTGCAGAGCACCTCTTCGTCCAAGCAGGATTTTCTTAACAACCACCTGAATGAAGAAGATGACCAAGTAGCTCCTCCGAAGACCACTTGGTTGAAGATCCACAGCCACAGTAAACATGGGACGATCCCCCGTAGAAGTTTGGCCTTCCAACAGGTTCACTTATCTTCGGACAATTATCAAGAAGCGGCCGCACCAGAGGACAAGAAGCCTTTACAGCAACTTGTGGAACAAAAGGACCACCGCCTCAACGCGCAGTGGTCTCGAAGGGACAACGATGATAAGACAGGAGATATCGCAGACTTGGGTCCACAGTTGTCCTCTCAAAATAAGCCTTTGCGCTCTTCCCTTCGAGGCGCACCTCCTCGCCCGACCTCGGGTCTCGAACCTCGAGAGCGGCGTCGGGTCTCTTTCAGCTGTTACGAAGGATATCACCGAGACGAGAAAGCTGCACCTTCTACTACCTCCTTCGCCAGTGGAGGTAGAGGAACTCTCAAAAAGTCTACCTCCGTGTCGCCTGCGAAACTCGGAAGAGGTGCTAGAAGTAGAGTTCGTAAAACTACGAGTCGCTGGAATTATGAATATGACGGAAGTGAAGCTCGTGCTGGCAGCAATTTTCCTGTTCCTGGGACTGGGTCACGATCATTTTCATCGACGCATGTAAAAGCTGAGACTTCTCCATACGACGCAGATGATGGTGGAGGCGGTCACTGTCACATCAATTCAACTACTGGTACTAGTGCTCCTGCGAGAACCAGCACACGTGCTGCGAATAAAAGAAGGTCTGCGAGGACCACTTCTCGCGGACTAGATGCTCATGAGGGATATTCCTCAAGGCGGCATAGGGCAGAGCGGAGCAGGAGTGGGGATAGGGGTGCTGCGGTCGACCGCAGTGCTGGGAGTCAACGAAGGTGGAACAGTTGTGAAGATCGCAGTGGGGAAAGGAGTCGCGACAGAGGAGAGCACCGCTATGCAGCCTCCACCCACTTGTCTCGGCGATCGGGGAAGCAATCAGCTCGGCGAAGTAGTCGCTGTAGTAGTGCTTCGCATCATAGGCAACATCATGGCACTTCTTCTCACAAGTATAGCTCCAACAACAGCACTGGTGCTGGTCCTCCGCGTGAAAGCGTCTCTCCCACGAAAATGTACGCGAGTCTTAGGCATGAGACCGAGAGAAAACGATCTCTTTTCTCTGGGATCAAGACGAACGAGGTGGAGGCACCGCTCTTCCACTACCACATCTGGTGCTGTCCCTCATTAGGCTGTAACGACTGCGTGCGACGGTGGAGGCGACGACTTGGCTTCGCTGCAGTCGTGAAGCAAGGCGTAAAACAGGATCAGAGCAGAGGACCTCCGCAGATCCCACCAGTTAAGGGTTGGAAGTTGACCTATCATCTAAGAGCATCTCTATGGCAGTCTCTTCAAGTAGGAAAGCCATCGATATGCGAGCTAGAGCGGTCAACTTTTAACCCCTAAACCAGGAGACTCCACAAGGAATGCGCCTGCACCTCCTTCCTCGAGATTGAGTGCAGACGAAGCACCTCCAGTTGCGTCGCAGCACGCTGTGGTCTCATCTTCATCTTCAGCACAAGCTAGTAGTAGAGGCGCAGCTGTTCTTGTAACGTCTGGTAGAAACAACCCGGTTTTTAGCAGTAGTCCACCTCAGAAACGACTTCTACATCAGAACCAGTATATTCTGCCTGGTTCAACATCTAGCAGTACTAGGATGAAGCACGACGTATCTTTCCCCGGATCATCTGCAAGTGTAACCAAAAACACAACTACAACTTCTGTTGGAGGCACATCAAGTAGAACTACATTAAGTACTAGTTACAATCACCAGTATCAGCATAATTATGTTGACCACAGGAATAGCGGCGCTAATAGTTGTTCCTTTCCCTCTGCCTCTGCTGGTGCTGGAACATCATCTTCAAATACTACGGCGTCGGCCGCTTCTAGAACTACAAGGGAGAGGACAACTTCTAGAACTTTTAGGGGAGTAGAGCAGGAAGAGGTCGGCGAAGAAGAGGATGCTAGTAGTGAAGAAAGAGTATCCCGGAATACGTTATGGCGCAAGCATGGACGGCCCATGCACTTTCTGACGTTAGAGTTCACAAGTCGCTGTTCTCGCGACACTGCCTTCGACGCGAAGGACATTTTGAGGAACTATACCCGTCCCAGAAGAGCAGACGACGACAACGACCAGGGCGGAAAGGCCGGAGATAGTGGGAAGTCCGGAGATGGTACTACTTCAGGCTCCGGAGGCGCATCAGGGTCCGGAGGAGGTGGGACTTCTAAAACGAAGAATGCTAGCGGTCGCAATTCCACCTCGGGTCCTACCACTGTTGGCGGTCTCACCCCTTTTGTAGGCGCGATGATCGGAAAGCAAGTGAAACAGCAAGTTAAGACTACCGACTTAAAAAGAGCACACTCAGTCTTCACAACCCTTGCTTCTTTGTATTCGTGAGTGGTACAACATTCAGCAGCAAGGGTCGTGTCGAGGATGTTCAGGAGGATACTTATATATTGCGAATAATGAGGTGGTAGCTCTAAGCAGAGAAGAAACGCATGGAACGAGGACGCTTTGCCTGTTGTAAACCCATTTTTTGATGAAGAACGACACGGATCTGTAGGCGCCGACGATTTTCTGGAAGAACAGTTCTCCTTTGATTACATGCACAGACACAAGACGGCCGTGGAGGTGTCTATGGCTGCGACAGCACTAGTGCTTCTCAGCTTCGCCTGGCTCCAGTTTATCCATTGCGGTTTTTGTTAAGGCTCATTATTTAATTCACTTCCAAAGGAGGTCATTTCTCTTTGCTTCCTTATACGGGGAATCTAAAGAAATGAATTAAAGAACGCACCAATTGCTTTGAGCTCTAATTTTGCGCGTTCCCCTTGTGCATTCTAGGACCGTACTTTCTTGTGCAGTACCTCTTGATGCTGAGTTTTCGCGAGACGTTCTGGACGCATTTTCAAAGTTGGAATGCAGTTTCAGCTGGTGTTGCTGCTTTCCTACTAGATTACAACATTGTTTTCCTCCTTCCGATGTACTTACCGGGTTACAACCGACAAAGCGACGTATGGGAACCGACGCCGGCGGAAACGGGTCGATTACTAGGCGGTCGCTCTCTCGGTGGCTCCCCTTTCGTCCCCCTACACACTGCGACGAGTTTAGTGGCCTTCTACCTGATGTGTATCGTGATATACAGATTGCGCTTCGCGTACTTGATCTACATTTTCTGGCCTAACTACCTTGTCTTGTACTACATGTACTATCACGCCGCAAGCTTTTGGTGCGATATCTCGAATATATCCAACATGCCAGGTGGAATGTTAGGGCTCATCACGACAGTTCATTTTGCTTTTCACCGTGGCTGTTTCCTCACCGTGGCTGTTTCCTCCTTAGCAGAGGCATGAAGAGAAGAGGCAAAGGCAAAGGCATGGATTGTTGTTACAAAATGAATTGTTGTAAGGTTCTCCAAGCAGGTCAGCATCAGAGCGAGATGCCCATGTCCGGGATTTAGAGCGGAAATTTGGGTACCCCGATCCGGTCGCCGTTTTCTTCGCCTTGCCGATACCACATTTCAAAATGGCAGCGTTTTTGTTTGTGCTGCTTTTCGTGTTAGCGTACTCCAGAGAAGTTTTGACGCGTAAGGACTTCCTACAAGCGATTCAGCTGCGGAAAGAAAGGGAATTGGGCGACTTCATGATCGAGAATATGTTGCCAACCAGCCTGGCCGATGAGTTGATTGTTAAGGCCTCCCCGAATCCATCTGCAGAAGCATCGCGCATAGCTGGATGCCCCAAAAGGGCAAAACAGATCATCCGAGATGGTGGATAGGGGAGGTGAGCTCTAAGATTGAGTCGTCTTCGAAATTCATTATGCGGACGGAAATCCTCTTCCATCGGCAAGGCTATAGGGCAAAAGTGTACGAAAATGTCACGGTTTGCTACGCCTCTATGGTCTCGCCAGACTGGGAAGAAGCGCTACCTGGAGTCTTGGTGTGCTGTTTGAATCGGGTACTAGCAGCGTCTTGTGCGAACTATCAAGTACCTTTTGAATTTGATCACTAGCTACATGGAAAGCACTTGTAAGAAGACGGTGATATTGACGTTTGCCTACAGTTATAGATACATTTCTCTAGATGTTGACAGTTACCCTCAGGTATTCACTCTCCTCGATCGTCTTGTAGAAGCTCACGGCGTAGACCGGATAAACACGAATGGCTGCAGTTTTCTCGCTGCCACAGGAATTCCGAAAAAACACGACTTTCATGCGCATGCAATGGCTCGTTTCGCGCTTCAAGCAGTTTCTAGGATAGAAGGCGCTCGAATCGCACATCCGGCGTTTTTCTCGGATCCTTTCAGGAGTTTCCCTATTCAAGGAGCACTTCTTTCGCCGTTTCATCTGGCTAGCGGATCTCCAAGTCCCTTTGTTACGATCCGTGTCGGTATGCACTCAGGCAAGGTGATGGGCGGCGTGCTTATGTCGCGGTCTAGGGTGGAATATAGCTTGTGGGGACAGGTAGTAACACTTCTGTGTTGTATACTTTTTTTTCAATGTTGGCACTTTTCTCTATCATTCAATTAATAATAATAATTTTGTCTCTACGGCGGTCGCGAATGACCATATCATGGGCACACACATGACATCCAATCACTTTTCTCCATCAGGACGTTGTATGGGCAGAGGCGATTACCGATGTTTCCAGAGCGGGTTGCATAACGTGCAGTGCTCGAACAGCGCAGCTAATCGAAGACGATTTCGTCTTTGAAAGAGCCAATTGCATCCTCCCAGCGGAAACGAATGTTAACAATTCTTATGGCTACTTTTCACCTTATTCATTCCCTATAACCATGGCTTTTCAAGTATAGAAGTACAGTGCACACCCGTCACTATAATTGGCTGGGTATATCATCATCATCATCATCATCATCATCAAATACTTCTTATGCCGCGTTCTTTTTCTAACTCTCCAATCCGAATTGTCAGTCGTCTGGCGAGAATGAGCTTGCTTCTGTTTTAAGAAGGCGGCACTCAGTGATGACAACAAACTCGCTTGATCAGCAGACCACTGGATCGTTGCTGAGAACTGGTGGAACTGTAGGTGACCACACGCAACAACTTGTAAACGGTAGAAGTCCTAGTGGAGGAGAGGAACGGTTGCGAACTTCAACAGGACCTGCTTCCATTCCACAACTACTACCTCATGATGCGACTGCGAACAACGCCTTTAGTTTTACGCCTTTAGAAAGAAGCTGCGTTCTGCAGCAAGACTGCTTGCAATTGTATGCGGTGCTGCGAGAAAAGCCTTGTGCCTTGGGGAAGACGTATTGGATGACAACAAACTACAGTAAGAAGGTCCGCATTGATCCCCTCGCCTTTGCGCTAGAGAAAGCCAGACTAGACCCTCTTTGGTCTACAGGGAAGTTGAATAAGTGCTTGAATACGTTTATACGAGACATCGAAAGGGAAGAGATTGCAATTTATGGTGGAAATTTCGAAGACCTGATGGAGGAAGACGAGGAGGAGGAAGAAGAGGATGACGACGAGGCAAGAAGGACTTCCTTAGAAGAAGACCAGTTGGGTAGTAGTTCTCGGACGCATTCAAGGTCCGATAGTCACAATAGTAGCAGTTCTTTGACGAGCACTACATCATCGCACGACACGACCCAGGAGGAGGACTCACGAACGCGTACTTCGTCATCAGAGCAGTCGCCAGAGAATCCTAAAAAAGTACGGGATGATCACGAAGGCGATGAAGATCGCGACAACCAAGACACGACCTCTGCTGTGAAGACAGAGGGCCCAAGTCGGAAGAACAGCAATGATGAAGATGATGCTCATGCTTTGAAAGAGGGACAACAACATGAAGATGCGAAGCAAGAGGAGAAGGATTTTTGTACCGTTACAGTGGACGACGAGGACGATGAGCCACCTGAGGAGTTTCCGAAGATCGCGGGTGATGATCATGATAGCTCCTCCGAGTCAACCAGTATGGACTCCCTAGTAGATGTGCGCAGTCGAAGAATTAGAGCCAATTACAGTACACGTGCTAAGAGGCCACGGACGAGACGCATTCCACCCTGTCCGCCTGGAGTTATCAAGGTTCTGTGGCAGCAGTATCACACCAATTAAGGCAGCCCACAGTGATTCGTCTTCACAGAAGAGTTTTTATTCTTTGAACTTCCAGCAAAATTCTCGTGTTTACAAATGTTGGAAAATAAGGCTTCTAGAACTTAGGCTTATCCCATGCAGCAAAATAAGGCGTATCTTCAGCAGACTCTAAAGCAACAACTACCAGCACAACGGAAGCTACAATAAGGGACATGGAAATGGCAAAGAGAAAGACAACCACTCCTCTACCAATATTAACAAGGGACGAGGAGGGTCTAGAGTTTCATCTTCTACGTATTATCAGTGGGGTGGCAGCGAATCTTTGAAGCCTTGGTCTAGCCATTACAGTGGCTATAATCTGAACAAGTATATGAATGGGACGGCTAAAAACAAGCGCCCAGGTGGCAATCTTGCTGGCAGAGTTAAGGCTTTACAGTCTAGTCAAAGACGTCAAATCATTTGTGACTGCATCGATCCAACATCCCTGAAAGCTGCGAGTGTGGCTCCTGAGGATTCTTGTTCTAGTAGAAAACGGATCAAGGACGATGCAGTTGAAAGATGAGGTGCGGGGAGGGGAGGTCTAATAGAGGAGAGCGACAGGAGCCTGGACAACTGATGCAATGGTTGTTGTTTGAAGATATTGTTACGCAGGAGGAAGAGGAGCGTGCGAAACGGAGGCGAGGACAACGTGTGAATATTCGTAGGAGAAGAATTTAAGGCTTGCTTTCCGCAGATTCAGCTTGAGAGGCATCATCTTTGACACGTTTCTTTCTAACAGGGAAAAACAAAAAGGTCGAGGATGCTCCCCAAGCTGAATATAGGGAATAGCCCTAAAGAATGGAATTTTCTTCGAGTACTAGCAGCATCAGCACCAGTGGAAGCAGTGTCCGTGGTGGGACCTTTGACGGCGGCGGAGGCGGAGAAAAGAGAAGTGCCCGTTGTGCGACCTTTTCCTTTGATGGAGGCGGAGGCGCCGGCCATAATTACAACACAAGCAACAATGCTCGTAGAGATGAGGGTCGAGGTCTTAGCACAGTAGGTGAGAACGCATCTTCAGCGAAGGGAAAGGGGTGCAGGAATACAACAAGAGATGACCTCCGCTGCGATGATAACGATAAAATCATCTTCAATGTTGCTGGCGGTAAAGATGGCAGCAGCGACGCAGATGGTAAAGATGTTCGACAAGAGGATGATAGCATAAGGACCGTGGTGACCAGGACTGCCCCTGCCCCATCGAGGCAGAAAAGTTCCGAATACTCGCCTAGCAAGCGGACCAGAGAGCTGTATCTACGAGATGTTGTTGCACAAGATGAAGTCGACGCTAGTCCAGAGGAGCGCCGCCAGGAGGAGCGCCGCCAGGAGGAGGTCCGTGCGGAACAAGACTCGTTGACAATCGAAGTCACGCCTCACGCGAATCACGCGATGTCGGTGAGCGTTCGAGGACATGTTCATGACCCATTGGGGAAACGCCGTCACAGTCGAGCAGACCAGGATGACTTTGGGAGATCCCATCAGCAGCGAGGAGGTGGAGGCAACAATCCTGAAGAGGACGACTACTCGGAGGGTTGTGAGCCTGCTCAGAGAGGTCTTGCTAAGACACTATCCTGCGCAAGCAATATCACATTTGCAGAAATTTCATCAGCTTTCACGGATAAAAAATAAGCGTGTCAGACGTGGTGACCGCAATGGATGTCACTTTTGTAACGCATTTCACTTACAATATATTTTACTAGGGTGGACAACACTTGCAAGAGTCAAGTTGTTTACTCAGTACAGTTGATCACTTACACTTTTTACATTTCACTTACAGTTTCTACACTTCACTTACAGTCACAGGTTTTTCACGTCACTTACAGTTTCTACAGTTCACTTACAATTTCTACATTTGTTCACTTACAATTTCTACATTTCACTTACAGTTTCTACAGTTCACTCACTTACATTTTCTGTATTTTGCTTAAGAAAGATGCGCACATATCACTTACAATTTCGGTCATGCAGCCCGTTAAGAGATAGAGCGCGTTAGAGATTGCGAACATCCTAATCCTACATTTCATCTAATACAACAACATCCGGTCAAAGGCAAGCTCGAACGTCAAAGTTTTTTTTCCCATTGAAGTAAAGCGTGGTGCCGCGGTATGCTTTTTTTGAAGCAGAGAGAGAAGAGAGAGAGAGAGACCGTTGATAGACAGCAGATGACCCCCCATGTGAAGCAAGCCATGGCTACACTGGAAGCTTTGAGGGAGTTCGAGTTGTTTGAATGAGAGATTCTTTTTTTCAGAAAACTGAAAACTCCACGCTGCCGAGTGTCTAAAAGGACTTCAACAGTTTGAATTGCAGATTCTTTTTTTTTGTAACAAAAAGCGATGACAATTGATTTTAGTTGGAGGCTTTCTGCTCCGTTTCCATGGCATATGGGTTGATCTTTTTTGTTCAAAGAGGGAATTGAGTGAAGGATAAGAAAGCCTTTTCCGAGAGACCTAATGCGACTGCGCTTGAGGAGAAGCAGCGGCGCTGAGAACGTTTCCTTTCATTTCTTTTTTTCGAGCTACCAAGGCCGCGAAATCAGGTCTTGACTCCGCGCTTGTCATCCGAATCTTCAATGTTGGTGTGTGTTGAAGCAAGTTGATGAAAAAAATATCTTCCCTCAGTCATCTTCTATTGTTTTTTCCCTCCACTATTCTATGATCGTCCCATCTCTTTATGGGTAGCCTTGTGTAGTATGTTCCTTAGCACCCCATTCAATCTTATGGTTGGCGAAGGAGGTTTTTTAATGACTATTGAGCATCTACACTTTGTATGTCGGTGTGAGTATGCTAATGATAGTCCAGTGCTTGTATCTTCTCTATTGCCCTAAGTATGTAGTAGAAAGTAGAAGAAATACTATGATATTTTCCTCTGTGTCTGTTGAGAATTGATGTTTGGATCTGCTAATTGAATTCCCGCACTTTGATCCTACCTATCTCTGTCTCTTCTGGTAATATACTAGAAGCTCTAGTTGTATGTAACATAAGTATAATTTTCGTTTTCCACATAGTTGTCCAGCTTAGCTGGTTCAACATTCTGGATAGAAGCTTCTTAAAGTTATTCAGTACTCGTTTCAACGTATATTCCTTGAAATTTGAAGACTGCTTCTAGGCGTGTTTCCCTGCTTGCTGTTTCTAACAAGAACTTTTGCTCTGCGAATGTAGATGCACACTAATGTAGATGCACACTAGAACATGAATGATGTCGTATACTTATTTATGATAAGAACGTCGATGAACCGGTGGTGATGATACAGTAGAGATCAAGTAGAATTGACGAATTTATTGCTGCATTTGCTTTGGCCCTTCTATTATACTCGTGAGCGATAAAGTTACGACTTCACTTTTTACATCTTGGTTAAATTGAGGTCGGGCGATCGATCGTCTTAGCGCTTTCAGCGCTAGTCTTCTGGTGGCATTTTATGCCACCAAGTTCAAGCCTTTAAGGCTTTGGGTACTACATGTTTTGCAACTTGTTTCGTACATCAGCGTCAGGGCATCGAGTGACCGGTCTAATTTAACTAGAAGAAGTATTGTGCTGATTGTGAAAAGAATAACCTAGCTTGTCTACGCCTTGCAAGTGAAATTCCCGAAATTCTTTAGATTTCTGAACAAATCTTTCTGCGACTTCCTCAGACCCTGTGGCAAGCCCTACATCGACGAACCACGAACCCACCGGCGCCATCTGCAGCTCTTGGACTCCTTTCTCTAGCTACTTACTTTTAGACTAACTAATTGGAACTAATTTATTATTGCACAGGCAAAACGGTCTAATCATTAGGCAGCCTGCCACCTTACGAAAACGATAAGATTTTTCCGTTCGATACTACCCCTTGCAAGTGAAAGTCCTGACTCTTTAGAATTTTTCTTTTTTTGTACTATCCACTCCACACCTATACGTGGTTCATCCTATGTGCTCAGTAGAAGTGAAGAGAGCAGAAGTCGTTCCTTAGGAAGTTATAAAACACGTGGGCAACATCATGCGTTAGCGCATGCCTTGGCGTGTACCTCCTGCATGTGTTTCGTGGGTAACGTGTGGCACCATCTGAGCCTTTGGGAACTTCTCAGCCTTTGGGTGTGAACGACAATACATAGCGTGTTGGAAGAAGCTCAATCGCCTTTCCGTGTACGAGAAGAAACTGGCTCAACGACTACTTCATCTCCCCTGTGGTGTACAAGAAGAGCAAATTTTGGAACCTGCATAAGAACTACATCTTATATGTAGAAAAACTCTTCTTCAGACGTTTTGCAGCAGCTCTAAGAAAAAGACGTCCGATGTGCAGCTTTTGACTTTTGAAGAGGCTAATCGCGAGTCTTTTTGCAACCTGGTTTACTACCTGTGCCAACGACCTTGCAGCAGGAGAGCTGCAATACGTTTGTGCACCTCCACCTGCTTGCTGTCAAATAAACTATAAACTTGCACCAGATACTAGGTCGTGGTCGTGTTCGGACTACGGGCAGACCGACAAAATGACAGGGGACACGGACGATCGCCTCTTTATAGGCATGATATCTCTCCGGACTTGTCCGGAGAGACGTGCCTTCTTCGAACAAGGATGGAATGAACAGATTCGTATTTTGAACTTCTTTTGATAACAAGGATGGAATGAACAGATTCGTATTTTGAACTTCTTTTGATATCTTTCTGGTTGTTCGTTGTATTGTGGGTGTAAGAGCTGAGTAGTACTCTTTGACCTAGCCGCGTTTTTGTAGGGGCAGCAGACTCTTGTCCATTTCTGATTTACCTAAGATCCATTTCTGATTTACCGCAACTACATCACACCCTGAATTACGTTACAATAATTTCAAAAATTTCTCTACCGACTTGCAGGAAAATGTTTGCCATCCGACTCCGACAGTTCGAGTACTTCCAGTCCGAGTGGCAGCACGAAAAACGACTCTACTCCAACTTTCCTGGGTCAAAAAGTACACTATCATGTCGCCGATTTAGATCCGGAAGGTGGTGTATTGGGATGCACCCGGAGTCACATGGCCTTGTACAAGAAGGCACTTGAATTACGGCTTTTGGTCTAGTAATCGCTTGCTGTATCGACCTAGCAGGTATGCCTAGTCCTAGCAGGAATCCTCAACGAAAAGAGTGAAATAGTTACTGAGCTCTAATCTTCGCTGGACCGCAAGTCACCGCAGCGATCATCTTCGAAGACGATGTCAAGGTCTTTTCTTCTTTTGGTTGACAAGTGCCCATTCTGGATGATAAATATAAGCGTAAACTTCTCCTCGCATGATTTACTGCTGTTGTATCACTGACTCCTCTCAACGTAAACTGTAAGGTTATAAGGCTCAGCTTTCAATGGTCACCATTGAGATTGGAGTCACTGAGATCGAAGAAGCGACTTCCCCTTGAGAGGAGAACAGGGGAAAAGGAAGGGAAAGGGGAGAGCTTTGAAGGGTGTCTCTTCCGTTCAGCGTCAGTGACCATTGAATGCCGAGCTTTTAATAGGGTAAACTCCGAGAACTTCGCTCCGCCATATTCTCCATCAGGTGAACTCCCACTTCACTCCTGGAGTTATCCGAGATTTGCTCGATGTGATGGATACGTGGGACGTCATTCGGTTCCACAAGACGGGTATCTGTTGCGTTCACGGCGCCCTGTCCGACCACTTGTATCACACTTCGAATCTCTGCGGACGCGCATACATGATCTCAAGAAGCTTGATGGAGTACTTCTAGCTTATTCTGATTATTGTTGTTGATAAGAAGGTACATCCGCATAAGAGGAAGCAGTAGCCTGTGCGCCAAGAGCACTGCGCTGGACTTGCTTCTGGAAAAACAAAAATACAAGGAGGGCTGAGAACAAGGACATCAACCAGCTTGATTCGATCATTGTTGTTATTTCAAGAAGCTTCATGCTCATGGAGTACTATGCATAGTTTGATGTTGATTGGGTTTTCTGACGTGGATCGTTGCTGCAGTTTCCAACATGATCTACGATTGATGAAGAGGCAAATCAATTGCAATTTCTTCTCCAATCCTACGCACAAATGCTGAAGTTGAAGCGTATGTATCGGATTCTCCAATTCTACACACAAATGCTGAAGTTGAAGCGTATGCATCGGATTCGCACACACAAATTCGAACCCATGCTTACTCCTTCTAGGTACACGCTCAAGTTCGATAGCAAGGAGGTCGTTCCCTACACGTACTTCTTGCCGAAGGCCAGTGCACGACAGCTGACCTATCACCCTTCTTTGATCACTGAGGGGGCCTTCGGTTCATGGAACACTGTCGGGTTCGGTCGTGCTGCAGGCAAGAGCCAAGATGCAGCTGTTAGTGAAAAATCCGGAGATGCGTATGCGAACGAGAGTTCTTCAGCTACCACTAGTGGCCGAGCAGCAGGCGCGACCTCGCCAAAGAAGACAAGTAGTGTTATGGCGAAGGATCATTCAAGTCTGTTTAACGAGTAGTTCTTTGTATCTAACAAGTCAAGGAATTACTTGTCCTTTTTAGACTACTCGTTTCAGTACTCTTATAGCCTTCCGTCTAATCTCAGTAGAGCCAAGGCCTTGAAAGGTAAGGGAGAAGCCGAAAAAGCACTGAAGGCAGGAGCAGAAAAGGTGACCAAGAAAGACGAAGGAGGTGACAGGGCGCTAGCTTTTTTGCAGTGGACTCTAAAGTACAGTGATTGTTAAGGTTTTTTTGTGATTTGAACTTCAAGACGTGCATATTTCTTTCGTCTCCTCTTTTTATGCTTGATATGATCCCCTCCTGCTCCTTCCCGACATCACAATGTACCTGCATGAAATAGGTACACCACCGTTGTTGAGCAAGCGATCGCGAACGTACATTTCTGGACGAACCTGCCAAGTCCTCTATTCAAGCCTACGACTTTTCCAGAGGCCGACTCCCTATTGTCGATTTGTCGTGGAGAGAATGCCAATGCCGATAACAAGGCTGGACAAGCACCAGGATCTTATGAACGCCTATCATGGGAGTCCTATAGGCAAAATGTTGGCACCTACGAGCCGATTACCGGCATCTGCCCTCGACGCTTGTCTAGCGAAGGCTTTTTTTACTTCTTTTGGGTGCAGTTGGTTCAACGCTTTATCGCTTTGGTATACAGTGTGCTTGGGATGTCGGCATTATGGAGAGATGGATTGACGTAAAAGTTTTCTGTAAAAGTGAGAAATCTAGTACTAGGTAGTGTAAATAGGCACATCCTTTCACAACGAACCCGAGTCTCCCCTACCATATGCACTTCGAATGGGCTATCGTCACTTGTCATACCCTATCCACCCCCTGCCATATCCCATCCCAAACCTTTCTAATCCTATCCGCCTCCGCACAAGTGGAAGACTTGTCTGAAACCGGAAACGACGAAGAAATCTCAGAGGACGTGCTAGCGCTATTAGAGTGCAAGGGTGCCGCACAGCAGACTCCAGGAGAAAAGAGGCTATTGCTGAGACAAAAGCGAAAGAGAACAGGTCTTTTGTTGCGATATTCCGATGTTTTGACATCCAGTGCCTTGCCGAATGCTGCTGCGGGTTGCAATGGAGCAGCAGGTGCTAGTACAATCACAAACTCCTCTAAGCCAGAGTCCCCGAGCGGATCATCACATGCGGTCGATCTGATGAAGACAGCTAGCGGAAGTTTGCGTAGGGTGATCAGTTCGGAGTCTGCAGCTTTCTCGCGCACAGTAAGTTTGGACTCGGACGCAGGGTCAACTCTGGATGCAGATAGTCGAACAGTGAGCAGAACAGGAGTGGCTGGTGAAACAACTGATGTTATGATTACACGAGCAGGCTAGTAGTAATAGGCCTTCAATCAACATTGAGCCCGACCTTTACACAAGTAAGAGCAGGCTAGTAGTAATAGGCCTTCAATCATTCTGAGCCCGACCTTTGCACACGCCAATTTGAAACAAATCAGTGACGACTGAAGAGACTGCTGCTATCCAAGTAAAGATCGGTCTCTTCACGACGCAGGGTCAACTCTGGATTTGTTTCAAACATACTACACAAGGGTACCCATAAAGAGATGGGACGATCATAGAATAGTGGAGGGAAAAAACAATAGAAGATGACTGAGGGAAGATTTTTTTTTCATCAACTTGCTTCAACACACACCAACATTGAAGATTCGGATGACAAGCACGGATTTGTGCTTCCAAGTAAAGATCGGTCTCTTCAGTCGTCACTGATTTGTTTCAAATTGGCGTCACTGATTTGTGTATCATCAATCTTGTTCTGTTCTTGTCTCCTCTTCTAACACTCGAGGCTGCCTGTACGATGTTGTAGTAGTCGGCGCGGGCATTGCCGGTTCTTCCTCAGCCTACCACCTCTCGCAAAGAGGCGCGAACGTTTTACTCCTAGAGCAGTGGGATGTTGCAAATGAGAACAGGAGAGCAGGAGCCAAGGAAGGCGGTCCTTCTGGCCTAGAGAGTTGTGGAAGCAGTAGAGGTGGACCACGCCGTATAGGTACACTAGATTTGGCGCCAGGAACTAGGGTTCGAGAAGCATGGACGGCATGGACGGATTTGCGGGCTTTGCACCAAAAAGCATTGAACTTATGGCACAGCTGATACTCGTATGTATGATACTTTTATCTTCAGTAGGAATCGCGTATGAACAAAAATGCAGCTAGCATCTGCCTGGAAAACTAGACAAGGTTCAGCTAAAAATTGAAAGAGATAAAAGATAGCATGTTGCATTTATCATGTTTAATATGGGGTACTCTTTTAATACAACTATCCGCATATGCATTTGCTCTAATCCCTGCGTCTGGAAGAACTAGTGACGCCAAAACGCTGAACAAGCACGCAGCGAAGCGAGCTGCCGCAGAACAAGCACCTCTGCTAGACGTGGTCGGAGAAGTCCTAGTCGTAAGCATTTTTCCTTTCGGCTGGTTGCTGATGATCTTTTTCCTCATCTGGTGGGCTTGCCGACGAATTTTTGCGGGTGCAGACTCCTTGCCACGAGGTTTAGAACTGCTGTTCACGCGTAGCCAGGTGATGGCGAAACTGCCAAATGACGCCTTCAAATTTGACAGCTGGAACGTGTTTGGGATCTACTACAGCGACGCGGCTGCCCTCTACACGAAGGAAATCCTGAAATACTTCCACGCTCAAGCTGTACCATTAACGTGGGAAGCTGCAGTTGTTGCGAATGGAACAATGTCTACTATGTCGTCGTCTTCGGGTGCAGCCCTAGTAGAAGGTGGTCATCTGAGCAGCCTTCCTGCAGAGGAACTAGCGCTTCCCGCGCTGAACGAGGAGGATACCATAAGCCGGGAGTCGAGTGGCAAGTCCAGTGGCCATGGTGGAAACGCATCCTCCAGCACTAGCACCAACTCAGGAAGCTCAATTAAGGCTTACTAAGTACTACCCTTAAAAATATCCATCTGACTATAAGTACCCTTAAAATCCATCTCCAGAACCGTCTTAGGACTTACTAAGTACCCTTAATATAATATCCATCTCCAGAACTACCATCTTAGGACTCACTGTTCCACAGGGGGGAATTGGTTTCAAGATGAGCCTCAAGATTGATTAGGGGGAGCTCTAACGCAACGACTGGAAAGTCAGCGACCAGCAATGACGAGGTATCACCAGATAACGCTTCCAGTACTGCTACAACTAATAGTGTTAAGTCAACATCGAACAAACTCAGCAGCAGCAGCAGCAGCAGCACTCCGCAGAGTTGCACTAGCACGAACACTGGTCTCAACTATTTCATCAGAGGAAATACCCGTGTTGTCAACGTCCGAATGCCTCCAGAGCCAAGGAAAGGGTCCCAACAGCGTCGCAGTCTACACCGAACAGCGTCACAGCCTAGTGCTCAAGCGTCGAAGCCAGTCGAATTCGTCCTTATCGATGTGGTTGACACCTTGACTGGCGAGAAAGGCACAGTGCGAGCGGCGCATGTAGTGATCGCAGGAGGAGGCTGGACAGGTCCTTTGTTGAAGAGCATGGGCCATCGACACGTGAAAACGCAGATAGGTGTCTTTACTTGCCCAAGTTACGACGTCAATGTGCAGAAAAGCAAGCCTAGCGCTGGATCCAAAACAACGCCAGCAAGCAAGAACGCCAAGACCTCTGCTGCAGAGAATGCTCTACCCCCTCTCTCAGTGGAAAATAAATGCCCGCTTTTCGCTATGCCAGGTGCAAGAATCTATGGCTTCCCCATGGCCGCAAATCACAACGGACACCAGGTAAAATTTTCATTCATGTTCTTGATTGCGATGGTAATTATGGTTATTTTTATCAATTAGAAATTCCTATTGATTATACTCAGGCTTATGTGGATCAAGAATGCCCGTCCGTCCCAACTACGGATCCTTTCCAGGTAATGTCCATTCGACCCAACTACCCATCGTTTGCTTGCAACGACCCCGAAAATCACACGCACTCTGAAGAACACATAGAAGCAGTCGGATCTTTCCTGAAGGAGCATATCAAGCCATCTGCGATGGTTTCAACTAAGCCGATCGCCTCCTACACCTGCCGTTACCCGCAACTGGCCATAGGTAATATAGTTTGTTAAAGATGCTTGAAACATGAAATATGAAGCCATAGCCAACTACTGTTTGGTACTAAGTCTACATGAAATCTTTCTACTATCCATAAGAACACCTTTATTCTAGTTTCATAAGAACACCTTTCTACTATCCTCCATAAGAACACCTCCTCTATTCTAGTTTCAATTTTCCTAATTTATTCCTAATTTCCTAATTATAGCCACAACATGAATTGTTCCTGATTTCCTAAGGTCCCGAGGGTAAATTCGGTGCTGTTTTGGATTTCGTTCCAGGATATGAGAGTCGTGTCGTTTTAGCCTCCGGCTTTGACGGCTACGGTTTCAAATACGGTTCTTTGTACGGTAAAGAAGTGCTTGACCTGCTGGCTACGCATACGCGAGTGGCAGGCCTCGAGTGGGAGAAGAAACCTGCTGAGAACGCGATCTTGAGGGCACTCCACAACGTGATCGACCTTCTGCTCAAAGCAGCAGGCGGTGACGACGGTGAGGCGGTGACGACGACTGGCGCGGGAGAAGAAGTGCGAACGGCAGAGGAGATTGCGGAAGTAGAGGCGATGTATCAGCGAAAGAAGAAAGAGACAGTCGCCAGTTGCTTCACGGGATGCCAGCGATGCTGTCTCGCAGCACTGTTCGTCTGTTTGTTTTTCAGTGCCGCTAGCGCGCGGTACTGGCAGGGGCTAATGCTCCTCGCACTGAATGTCGCGTACACGTTTGGCAGCGAGGTCGCTTTTCGCACACCGCAGAACGCAGAGGACTGGAGGCGCGCAGCGCTGATCTGGGCAGTGCACTACGCATGGACTTTGGGAGGCCCGTTGTTGACGTACTTCGTCGCATCTTCTTTGCTTCTATCAGGCGTCGATACAGAACTTTCAGGAACGTCAGATCGACTATCGGCAGCGCTACTGTTCCTGGCAGTGGTTTTGACGAGTTTAGGAACGTATGTGCGCTATCGCAGCATGGACGAATGCGACCACTATGACCGTTCCGCCAGAGGAATTGCGCTTAGTGACGATACCTACTCAGATTTGAAGAGTAAACAAACAACGACAAAGAGCTCTTCAGCCGCAAGGGATCAGAACAACAGGAAAGAAACTCAAACTTCTTCTAGCACAACTGCCGCTGCAGATTGCCTAGATAAGAGAGAAGTCCTTACGAAGACGGGCATTTACGGTTGCTGCAGGCACCCAGGTTTCGCAGCGCACATTCTCGACGCTACTAGTTTGGCTCTGCTTCTCGGAAGTTGGTCATTGGCAGTATCGGCAGAGGTTGCGTCAGCTGACGTGGGCCAGTTGTCGTTTGGCACTTACTTGATGCGAACAAGCGTTTTTGCAGTATTTTTGCCTTGCTTGCACGCGGCGATTGCATATGGAATTTTCGTGTATTCAGCAAACGACGAAGAGAAATCCTTCATGAGCACAGAGGAATTCAAAGTGGCGTACGAGGAATACAGTTATGAAAAGGACTACTGAGAATTATTTGAATTCATGCAGCTCTGATAGTGATATTGTCTTGTCATAGATAAGTCACTGGGTTTGGAGGTTTTTCTTCTCGAGGTTGGCTTCTTCTTACAACTCCTTATGTCATACGAAGTTCAACCTCCACCGCAGTCGTACCTAAAAAGGACTAACAGTAGCTTTGCTTTTCCCACTGACGAGGGATATCCTCCTACGCAAAGGGAAACTCTAATCCTCAAAAGAAGTTCCGAACCAGTTTAACTTCGTGTCCAACCTTGCGGTCCCTATCTCTGAAGCAGTGGCGCACGTCAGATGTGGTGGAAGTCAGGGAATTTCGGAACGGCGCATCTTCCTGAAGCTTCTAGGCCTCTTTGAGGGAACACGTGTCGACTTCTTGGATCCTGTGAACGAGCCAGAGCTGATTGAGAAGGTGCTGGAGGGAAGCAACAAAGGTAATATTCAAAGAGTTTGAAGGGGAATTTGTGATGTTAGATAAAACTTTGTGTCCACAAGGCCCACGTGGTGGAGTCAACGCAGTATTATTGCTTGTAATGAATAATAATTTGATAATAATGGCTGATAGATTGTGTTTGTGTTTGTGGTCATGGTACTACTCCGTATGGTGGCCGTGTTTGTGTTTGTGGTCATGGTACTAGTTCGTGTTTGTGGTTGTGTTTGTGGTCATGGTACTACTCCGTATGGTGGCCGTGTTTGTGTTTGTGGTCATGGTACTAGTTCGTGTTTGTGTTTGTGGTCATAAAACTACTCCGTATGGTGGCCTTACAGGAAGATAAATTTCTGTTCGATGAAATAAATTTCTGTTCGATGAAATATGACACCTTTGCAATCGACAAGTAGGTTACTTCATCGAGGAGCTGATCGCGTGTCCCGCATGGCACCCTGTGCGAAGCGTGGAGTCCGTCTCTTATCCCGAAGCCATGAAGATGAAGGAAAGCTTGGGTATGGTCTTCGCAAAGGTGCGCATCTTTGAACGATTGGATGCTGTCATCGATGAAGTCGTTTCCCGTGACCGAAAGTTGCGCGCAGCCTGTCTACCGAGTCTGCTCAAGTCAGCGAGTGAGGTGACGACCGCTTCTTGCAGCACAAGTTCATTCACGGATCATGACGTGAGTCCCCCATCAAGTGTAAGCACGGATTCGAGTAGGAGGCGAAGCTCTGTGGATTCAGAGGATACCCCAACACCCACAGCAGCAGCAGGAGAGCCAGCTGCAGCTATTAAGAGAAACACCATCTCGCTACTGCTTAGATTTAGTTTTTTTGATGTTTTGAGATTCATCATCATGCTTCTCCGCGTGATGTCATCTGTAGTAAGTACTTGCCCACAGAAGGGAGTTTTCCTCTAATTCAAACGCCAACAAAGACGGAAAGGGCATATCAGCAGAGGCGTTGCTAGGACTACTAGGCAAAGAACTGGAGGTCGCAGAGGAAGATTACATTGGCTGCCCAGATGTTACGAGACACAGCTTTGAGGTATTAATTTATCGATACCATGCTGGTTTGTATCCTAATAGGTGGCTTTAAGACAGAACACGAACAACAGGAACACCGTTGATTGAAAGTGCTCGTACTAGATGATCCATTGTTTTTCCAATTTGCACTTCGACTTTGTTCAACTTTGCCGATCACTTTCGATCTTGACCCCCACATACAAACGTCCCCTTTTCTCAGGTCTTTTTCAAGCTTTTAACGGACCGCTTCCCCACTGAAGAAGAGAGTGCCTTGGCCCACAAGGCGGTTGATGAGTGGAGAAAGATGATCGCCATGAAGGGTTTAGCAGACCATGATCTGAAAATTCGATTTCTAGACTTCATGCGAAATAGCCTGAAAACATCCCCCTTCTTCCAAAAGACGCCACAAAGACCAGCTGGGGAGAAGGATAGTAAAATTGATTATATCATGTTTTGTTTGTGTGGTCTTGCGATTGTACCTGAAGCTGAATCACATAATGTTTTACACCTTCAAACACTACTGCTACTAACTTGTCTTGTTGTTTCTTCCTTATTTCTTTTACAAATTTCGCACTGAAAACAACAGCACGAAGCGAAACTCAGAAGATGGCGGACGACTACGTCTTCGACTGGGACAACGTCAATACCCTTTCCTGCGTCTTGCAGCCCATGATTATCTCACCGATGATCAACTTTGCCGATGTTTTCTCGAGTTTGAAGAAAATATTGGATTCGAACCCACACTGGCGTGATGAGATCTGCGCACCTAGTGAATTCAGCGAGGCCCCACCAGGAACCCCAGGCCCTTCTGCGAATACAGGTGAGAATTTGGGCTTGGTCAAGCGAACACGAAGCGAGGAAGTAGCAGATCGAGTGGTGTTGTTATGGTGAAAGTAGACCATGAAGAATGTTTCACATCTTGATCTCCTCTCATCTAGATACTATACAGACTCTAACCTCAGAAGGAATGCGATGCGCACACCCTTTCCCGATTCTAGAACGCAAGCTGAACAAAGACGTATCAAAGAACGGGCAAGTGCGATTCACGAAGGGAACTCAGGTCTTCATCGAGTACGATCAATCGTGTGTGGGACAGCCTGCGGAACTACCATCGGAGGACGAAGCTGAAAAGAACGAGGGATCGGGTAGTATGGTTTTCAATAGATGATATTAATATTTTGTAATTTTTAGTGTATTTTTGTGATCCATTGTGAAACCTGATCCAAATCCCCACTGAAATCCGAAATCTTCTGATCCAGTTCCGCAGCGTCAGCGTCCTACTTAGCTAACTACGTAAGTAAGCACAAGAAGGAAGAACGACCAAGACAGAACAAGAACAACACAACAAGCACGACCCAAGACGTAACAAGGACTGCATGATATCCATTCTCTTTCCTCATGCAGGTTTGGTATATGTTACCTCGGTGACATCACGTAAGACATACTGGGAGGGTCTAAGATAGACTCAAGCTTAGGCCGGCTTAGTATGGTCTATTACAATTTTTTTTTAACAGAGAATGAGGAAGATTAGTGTTGTCTTTTTCTTTCCCACTGTCATCTCATCTCAACATAAAATTGATAATCAACGACAATTACATAGAAGCACGCTAATCAATTCAACATCTCCAGTGAACTCCTCAGGTTCCTCAGGAGCCGCTGGTTGTCCGTTCCTTTCTGGCGGAGGTTCGGCTTTAGGTGTTTGCCCCGTCACCGGCATGCAGTCGCCTTTAGCGGCAACCCGATTCGACCCCAACCGGTGGCATGACGAGGGAAAGTGCCCTTTTCTTAAGGCTTCCGCAAATTCATCTTCAGAGGCATCTTCGACACGTTTTCAAGGGGGAAGAAAAAGGTCAGAGATGCAGCTGCTCTCCAAGATGAGTACAGAGAAGCTCTAACTTTCGCGCAGTACCTTTCGGTAGCGGAGTGCGCCGTTGCTTTGGTCAGAAAGTCGCCAGAGTGATCCTCCGAAAGCTGTTGGTGGCCTACGCTCACAACTGGGATCGATTCGATCCAAGCAGAGGACACTCGTACCTGTTATAGATTTAGGATTTCGACTTGTTTTTGCTTTTTTTCTTTCATTATAGAAGTACTTCATTGTTATAGTTGAAAGACTGACAGAGACACGTCTTCTTCATCAGTGCCATCAAATAATTAGCACCAAATAGGATGAAAATGATCACCCGTGATTGAATTATAACCCCCACAGGCATTCGGGTCGCAATAACGATAGCGATCCAGGAGACACGCTGTACGTTGCCAAAAACCTCCTACGTTGTTTAGGAGACGGTCTTGCCTACCGACTTGGCGGTGGGCAATAACCAAATTGTACAGTTACGGCTTCAACACACACACACATAATTCATTTCCACAGATCAGTTTTCTTTGTTTCATCCTCGTCGGGATTCTGGAAAATGGAGCTGAAGAAATGAATGGTTTTACGCTCCTCTAATATGGGAACGCCAATCTTGCTCCTTCACGACTTCACCCACCTAAAAGAAAATAATTTTACGAGTCGGATGCCGGCGTTTGCGAGTCGGAGGAGTAGTATGTCGATTGCTACTACTTTTTTCTTGGTACAAGAAAGTAACTTGTATCAGATACAAAATACTACTTGCGATGATTGCTGATGACGCAAAGTATACTATTGCGATTTCGAGGGGAGATGATGATAAAGCCACGTTATACTATAAGGACGACAATGGGGTGGAGAGTGTCTTTCGCTCTCTGTCGAGTCTGTCGTAGTACTACGAGGAGGTGAGACTAGTACAGGTAGTAGTACTAGAAAATACGAAACTTCGTTCTCTTCAAAAGCCAGTTTCTAAACATAATTAAGTCTTACCACCTCCACAAAAAAAACTAAAAAATGAAAAAAAGTAAGTAGAAACATTTTTGAGACGATGATGTTGGTACTTACTTCTAAACACATCGCATATTACAATTTCTACATGAAAGAATGTAAATGCTCTAGTAAAGCCTACACGGATTTTCCTTTAAAAGAGCCTACAAGTACCACGGCCATTCAAGAACATAATTAAGTTGGAATGTTGACACTTACACTCTAGCCTTCCTAGGGACGAACATTTAAGTGTGAACAGGAACAGCGTATCATGTATAAGCACTTCGACTTCTCTGGTTCCTAAGACTGGGATTTTGGAAATTCTTAGTTCCTTCAAAGCCCGATCATGGTGCTACTCGGTGTCTCTGCCGACTGGCGGGTACGTGCTATCCGTCAGCAGATGGCACGTAGATCACCATATGCACCAGCAGCAGCCTCCCTTTATACTTACTGTACAACTAGTGCCGCTTACTTTTTTCTAAAGATAAATGAATGTACCACTTCTAACTATTCACCATGATTGATTCTCAATCATCTACCTCTAGATCGATACAGTCGTATATCCTTGTATTTTTACAAAAGGCCAATTGTAGTTGTTGTAGAGTATTTGTCACAGACGGGATACCCACACGACTGCTTCTCATCGCACTTCGAAGGACCTCGATGAATATTAAGGGCGGACAGCCACTTAGTATCTGCACATGTCGTGTACAGTTAGTTTGATGCTCCTGCATTGTTTCAACATTCCACTACCTGTAGGAATTTGCATCAGGTGATTGTTCTTGTCCTTGTACAGCCAACAACTGCCTTCCATAGAGTAGTACTGTTAAGACTGACAACATTACTGTCTGTCTTCCACGACTGATCATGTATCTATCTTCTGTACCGTGTCTGAACAAGTCACCTTGAAATCTATAAGTTATCTTGGGGGGTCAAGGTGATTGTTCGACCCGGTAGTTCCCTCCACCATAACAGCATCATCTCACTTCACTAAAATCATTGTTACAATGATTTCCATCTGTTGATCATGATCAAGAAGAAATCACAGGGTCGTCGTGCTTGTACTTGTATGTTCATTTCTAATGAGTTGCATCATGATTTAGCTCTAGCTGTTACTTGCTGCTCGTTGCATACTAGTCTAGGAGGGTACCCTGCTACACACTAGTAGGAGGAAGATGTTTGCATTTATGTGGTTGTACATTCTGAAGATACTACTCCGTTGTACTACTTAAGTGATATTATCTATATGGTAGTTGCGAACAAGAACACAAAATCACACTATCGAGGTGGTGGACTTGTTGTATTCTGGAAATTTTCCTTTAAGATAATCTCACAATTCTTGCATTGGGCTTCTATCTGTGTTGATCTCAGAAGTGTGCAGACAACGAGATACGGCTAAGCCATGATCTCAGAAACTGCTTGTTAAAGGTCTACTTGATAGATCCTTGAGAAGTATAATCTAATTAAGAATGATCAAGGATGTAGTACTAGTAAAATGGTAGCACATACGAGAGAATAAACGAAAAGCTCATCTCTAAGATGATGAAGATGAAGTAGACCACCTAGACAAGTATGTGATATACATATAACCTACTAACTTACAACCCGAGGGCGTATAACGTGCGAGGCGATCGGGTCGCGCGCGAAAGAATAATAATAATAACAACCTACTTCGCTTCCAGTTTTTGGACAACATGTTCGTCGTTGCCCTAAGAAGATGTTAAAAGAGCAAGCTCTTTCCGATTTAAGATGGTAATTCTTTGCAGCATGATGATGGAAATAGTTAGACAACACGTCGCACGCGGCCGCGCACGCCACCCTATTTGCAATACGTCACGCCAAGTAAAACGTTAATTTTGTACTCGCAGCCTAAACAAAAGCGTAATTGAAGGACAGGGCGTCGCTTGTTCTCCTCCTACGTGCGCACGTTTCAGAGGTGGATGTATTCATGTAGTGTGTACGTAGTGTGTGCACGAAAATACTTCTAGTACAGAAGAGGGTTTAGGAAACAGTTTTGTGTAGTCGTGCAGGGCTGAGGCCGGACCCCCCCTAATCCTAATTCTAGTCCTAATCCTAGTCGGTTCGTTGTTGTGCGGCGATAAAAATTCTGGTATATTTAGGAGGTAGGTTTAAAAAAAGGTCATTAATATTGAGACTCAAGAATTAATGATTCTTTACTACAACAAGCGCAAATCATGATTTATTTTGTACTACTTGGAAAAACTGTCTTCCACTTGGAAAAATTGTGAGGATTTATTTTGAAAAAAATTTTATAGTAAGATCGATGAGTTTGAAGTTCAATTTATAGGTGGGGTGTGGCGAAGGGGCTTGATTGGTAACAACAAGAGGTGAGGATTGATGCACAGCGATATGTATTGAGTTTTGAGAATTCTTTAGCTTATTGGAAAGAGACAGGCGAAGATTTATTGAAAGAAAGACGTGAAGATGTTATAGTTCAGTTATAGTGGTCGGCAGAGATAGATCGTATGGTGGTCGGTTAAAAAGTCAAGGTCAAAAAAACCCATGAGGGTCGGCAATAGAACAAATTGTAGTGGTCACTAAAAGTTGTAGTGGAGTCGACGAACAAGCTTCAAGGGCTTCCCCATACAGCAACAAGCAGGGTTTCCTAGTGCAAAGTCGAGATGTAAGTTAAGGCAGCTAACACGGATTATCATAGAATGGAGTTATACTCAAGCAACAAGGAGAAGAATGGATAGGTGGTAGCAGAGTTATGTAAGAATTTTGAAGAGGATAGAAAAACAGTCGAAAAATGCAACTTATTGTTGGAAAAGAATTATGTTCCCAAGAAGATACACGATCTTGTGGTTCGCCATGGGAGGAGTAGGAGTATGTGAGTGCAAAAGTTGCAGCCATTTTGTACTGATTACTGAGGCATCAATTTGCTACTTTCTCCTTTTCGCAAGGACGAGAAGCTGTATTTATAATGCAACTACCCCTGAGGACCACGTTCAGCAATACTCCAAACGAATCCCGATTGGCACTTCTACAGGAGTTTATACTTCCATCAACAGGAGGTGCGTCATCGTGGTGTGGTCCATCACGAGCCCTCTAGTACTTTCTATGCATCTACTTTAAAACGGGAGAACGGTGGTGATGAGATGATGATGAGAACCGCACCAGGACAGTGGCCCTACCGGTGTCACCGGTTAGGTCGCAGTTCTGTGCGGCTAAGATCTTCTAATTGTAGGGAGATATTGATATTGTTCGACAAAAACTACGAAGTGTTCACCAAATTATGATTTTCGTCGTCGTTCGTTGTCCATCTAAAAGTTTGTGAAAAAAGTGCCTTCCGAATAAGGAAGGTACATGTACGCTTATCTAATTAAGGTGGTGAGTAGGAGTACTTACCACTACCATGGTCCATAACCATCTCATTTAAAATTGAGTCGAACAATCGAATTAGAAAGATATAATTCAACAACTCATTATGCAGATTATATGTATGAAAGGAAAATGAGATGACGCTTCAGATGGGACAATAGCAATAGAATTCGAGCAACACTGTTCGAATTATACTGGTAGTACCTAAATTCTTCATTAGGAACAGCAAACAAGGACAACGACAATCTTACTTTAAAAGATTGAAATTGTACTACTCACAGGTATAAAAATTATCGTTCTTACTTCTTGTACTACAACAGTTATTAATATCGTTCGTTATAGCGTTCGCACAAGATGTAAAACCTCTCTGTAAGCCACCTCTTAATTCGACATCACAGCTCAATTTACGTAGAAATTCATTGTACTACGTTTTATTATGTTTAGCCATCCAACATATGATCGATATCGATTAGTTTCGCCTATTCACTTATTTCACATAGACGAGGAATTAGTTTTAGAAAGGACAACAACCTACTCATTGAACTAATCGAATTCGAAATTCAGATGTTTCTTCCTCGCTGCATTCAAGCGGGAAGCACGACGTAGACAGACAACTTGCTCTCACTTTCACACTCTAGTACTTACTACATTTCAATTGACTACATCTTGTTTCACAACAAGACGTAATACTCACATCACGGGGTTGTCGAAGCAAAGCGAGGAAGGTCAGGATGTTTTCTTAAAGATGTCGGAGGCCGCGCTGTCCTCTGATCCTGAGGGAACCTACAACTTGCTACAGCGCTTTGTGCCTATCGCACCTGATCGGTGGGCCAGTGGAAGCGTATTTGTAAGGTCCGATGAAACTGTGAGAGGGTAATATTAAAAAGTATAAAAGGTAATAATCAGTCAGACGAGGCCCTTAGGAGCGCGTGCAGAAATTTTGAAAGAGCGTGGGACACCGTGCCACTCGGTAGTGCCATTTGAGATATCGGTACACGAGAAGTCGTCGGTCAATCAACTTCTGTACCGGAAGATCAAAGTTGTGAGGAACGAACCCATGCGTGGTCTGCGCCCTGTGATCCTTAATTCCCAGAGCCGGCTCTTCTATCCCGATCCCCCCACTCCTCCACCAACTTCCAATTCCGATTGCATTCATTCGCTCCAAATACAGACACAGTTGGTAGTTGTAAGTATGATTTTTTACTTTTTCGTTAGAAGAGCCAGAACGTTGTACTTTAGTAGTTGTACCATGATGCTATTGATGCACTCTTGAAATGAGAGCTACTAGAAAATAATCACGTCATAACGTCTTTTTTAAGTGCTTACTGTAGTTGTGCAGGCAATGTGATTCATACTCAAGCAACTCGTAGAAACAGCACATAGGAACAACTACACATGGAACAGCACATAGGAATGTCTCTTTTCATCTTGTAGGAGCGATATATCTATCGTACCGATCACGTTCACGATGATGAGCAGTTGCCACGATATTGCACCTGCGGAGAGGAGAGGCCGGATTGTCTATCAAGAAGACGAGGGTGCGTTGATGCCTCCTTTCCCTTCAAGCACGTCGTCGCCTCAGCCTGCAGGAACTTATCGGGTCCATACTTATGGAAATAGTAGAGTAGTATTCTTCTATACCCCTGGAGTGGGTAAATTCGTTCACTCGCTCAGGCTACCCTGAACGCCATCCTTGGCTATTATCCTAAGGGGAAAAGGAGCCAAGGATGCTACCAGGGGAGCGACTGAGGTAGCTCTTCTAAGATACCACGGGGTACGCGAGACGTGCAACGGATGGGCAGGGAAATGTTGTGACGGAAGTAGTGCAAAAAAGGACGTCTAGAGTTGTCGAGCGTTCCGCTTCCACTTCTTCAACTTCGCTAATGGATCATGTTCATCAAGCTGCAGCACGCCAAATCAGCAAGGATGAGCCGATGCGACACACACGGCGTAGCAACGTTGTTGGAGGTCAAGAACATGTGGATGGAAATAGTGAAAATAACCAACAGCAGAGCATATTATTATGGTCAACGTCTAGTGTCCATCTCCATCATTCTCGGCATCTTGGTGCCCTTTTGTTCCCCTGTATTCTTCTCATGTTTGAATATTACAAGGCGTCAAGATGAAAAGGGGGCCGAGATGCAATCTAGCAGACTGCTCTAATATTACAACCGCCGTTTTTAGAAGCAGCTCCAGCTCCAGGCGCAGGACCTTTCCGCTTTATCCCTTCAGGAAGGAAGCCGAATTATGTCCAACCTTCTACATCCAGTAATACAAAGACAATTCAACATGGAGTGGTCCCAGACGAAGGATTGCGGACACCCACACATACTAGGACAACTGCAGCTAGAAGTGCAGGAACAACAGCGCCGTTGAGTGCAGGCAAATCTTTTACCAGGCCAACTTCACCATTATCAGGAGGAAAATTGCTATATCCACGGACGCCGCTTTCTGCTGGGAAAATCGGTTTGGGAGGATTCCAATTAGGTCCTGGACCTCAGATGCCTAGAAGCATGAGCGTCCAGAATCTTGGAACACGCAACGCAGCGGCATCCACTGCCAGTTGTAGTTCAACGAGGGCTAACTACGTAGGAGTTGGCAGCAACAATAGTTCTGTGGACAGTGCTGGCACGCCATCCACAGCGCGAATGTGGTCGACACGTCGGACGACACTAGGTTTGCTTCCATTATATGCAAATTTTCAAGCCCCAGGAGCTGTGAGAAAAGTGGCCACTAGCGCTTCACAACAGGCTGTAGGGGGTGGCTCTTCTTCTTCGCGTTCGACTGGTCGCAACAACATTGCGAATTCCACTTAAGTGCAGACACAAACTAGCAAATCTACGCCACTAGTAGCTCATCAAATACACCCAAATAATGTCAACGCCACAGGAGAACGAGAAGGAGCAGCTATAATTGGTATTGCATCTTCAGTGATGGATGACCATCCATCGTCAGGTACGACGACGCATAGCTCAGTGAGTAGTAAGACAACGGACGTTGCGGCGCGGATCAGAACAAAGAGTCTACTTGGAACTACGTCTTCAGAGCAGATGTATAGAGGTGGTCAAGCTAGAGGACACGGTCAGGACCAGCCAGAGCAGATGATGAAAAGTGTTAAGGCTTCCCTTAAAAAATCCATCTCCGAAAGCATCTTGAAGGAGCATCACGACGCGTCTCAAGATGGATCAACATAAGGGTGACGAGAGAGCTCTAATTATAGTGGAAGACTAAACACGGGAAGACAGAGTAATTTCAGTACCTACGAAGAGGCGCGTGGCATTCTTCCAGAGAAGCAGCAGACACCAATAGAACCGCCATTGCGGCTACCCGAAGTCGTCCTGCAGATGCCGGTGGAAGTTGTCCATGATCTTGATCAAGGAGGGTTGGTTCATGGGTCTGCTCCCAACAGGAATCAGAATCATATACTCACAGAATTGCCGGTACAAACCGTTGCAGCAAGAAATAGTAGGACTGCAGCAGGTGATCCTATCGTTGAGTCAACCACTTCGTTTCTCTCTCCACCAGCTGTGTCTCCGGAACCCGGGAATCGGAGTAACCATGGCGCATCGAAAGGCGTAGGAGTAGGTTCTCAAGGAGTAGGCGTAGGAGTACAGCTACAAGGTGCTGACGTTAAGGCTCAATGTATAACTCAAGAAACTCATTTCCGAAGGTCATGTCTCTTGGTTTCCTTACAGGAACCCGAAGAAATGATTTGCTTGGCGCTCTAATGATGCTCTGGCGAAAAGCTTGAGCGTAGTATCTTCGCAGAACAGTGACCCAATTTTAGACAGATATCAAGAATTCTTAATGCACCAACGAGAACGCGAGGAGCAGGAACGAGGAGAGGAGCCTAGTTGTGGAAGTATAGGAACATCAAGGACAACGACAACGGCAACGACTAGTAAGAATGTATCAGAGCATTCATCCGCATCATCTGCTTCACAAACGAGAATAAAGGATGCACACAAGACAGTGTTGACTGCTGCTCATAACGACAAACTAGACATTGCTGGCACGACCATCATGCCCACAGGTGGAGCTGGAGGAGCTGGTGGTGGATGTAGTACTAAAAAGATGAAAAACTACAATAATACGTCGAGTGAAGTAGACATCAAAGAGGAGCAGGGAGGTAAAGAGCAGGAAGGCGAAGGAATTAGTCCCACGCTTTTGCAGATACGTCGAACAACCAGCATGGGCGCTTCTTCGGTGACCACCACAGCGAGTGGAACATTTCGCAGTGGCAGCGGGACAACTTCCTGTTCAAGTGGGTCAGAGAGTACGACTTTTATACGAGCACAAGGAAGGCCACAGCGGTTTTGTGCACCCTTATCGATGAACGGTTCATCGCGACCGAAGTATCCGTTTCATGGGGGTGGAAATAATCATGCTTAAGGCTAATGATTATTTTAAGCGAAACAAGTTGTCTTCAAGAAGAAAGAAGGCTTCAGACTCACTCAACAATTGAGAAGGCCGAAAATAACCCAAATATCCCTGCTTGTTTTTCCCATTTTTATTGGCCATGATCCAGACGTGGCCATTATATAGTGCCTTGTCTGGAAGGTGTCCGGAGATGACAATTGGAATAATTGCTAGTAGTGTTTCTAAGACAGTACTTCCTATCCCAGTCCATCAACGGCGTGGTCAGGTGTGAAGTCAGGCATGAATCGGCAAAGATCGGTGTCTCCACCAATACCAGTAGCAGCACGTATAGAAGCCTCACCAGGACGCCACTCGCCAGGAAATAGGTTCGGGAATTTTTACTTATCTATGAATCATTTAATAAGTTATCGTAGAATTAGCATCTTGCACCAGTATGTGCAGGTATTTTTAATACTACAGGAGAGTCATCGTGGTCAACATGATCATCGTAAGACAGTACTAGCTTTCTCTTGATGTCCTCCTCGTTCAGTGCAATCTTCATCAACATCCTACATTCTATCATGTATACATCATTTAGGCTGGCTCCAGCACTATACATCATTTCAGGCCACAAGTGCGGAGTGGTTTGCCATCGCGGTCTAGCTCTCCGACTACGAGACGTGTACAGTCGCCATTTCGCTATTTTAGTTCCTCAGCTCCTGGTGGGCCTCCACAGAATATCATAGAAGGAGTTAACAAGAAAGTGAGAGCACAGCCAGCGCATAATCTCACAACTGGTGGAGGAGAAGCCCAAGTCGTAGTAGAGCAAAAGCGAAGACAGCTGAGTGCGTCCGATTCTTTCACGCAGTTGCAGCACTCACTGCAGACGGAACAGAAGACGTTGCAGCGAAGCAAGAGCACGATGAGCCAACATAGCAGTTGTCAGGGTGGATCAGCAGTTATGGTAGTTGATAATATTTCTAATTCAGCTCCATAGAGAGGACTATCTCAGTTTCCTTCTAGGATATGAAGTATTGATGTGAGCGGAAAACATGAAGTATTGTGAGCTCTAAAGCAGCCCATGGACTACCAGAATCTTCAACAGCAGTCGCGTGCTTAAGCCAATTACATGAGGGTGGAACAACTACCTTACAGCAATATTGGTCACCCGCCAAGGTGTTAGGTATATTGCTGAGGCCTCATGTCTACTGTCGTATCCGGCCAGTGCTGACACGAGAACGGAGGACACGCATGTGCGTCAAAGTTCGAAGCGAAACAACAGAGGAAATGCTCTTATGCAATTATAAAAAAGTAAACTACAAGAATAACGCTCTTCCAATCTAATCTCCTTCATCATTCGCTTTAGGAGAATGAGATTAAGTTTATGTACGAACGAAAACGAACACAAAGAAAAAGGGTCTTCCCTTCAAACAAACATATTCTTACTTTCTCTCTGTTCTCGCTCTTTCTTTTTACACGACGAGAATATAATCAATTTCTATTGTCCTTCTCCTCTCTACATCTTATCTTCTGTTGTCTTTTCTCTCTCCTCACTTTCTAAATTGCCTCGACGGCAGCGGCGATTGCCACAAATTGATCGCAATCAAAGACAAAGAGACTACCGAACTACGCGAATTCAAGTTCCACAACGTCTTTCGGCACGACTCCACTCAGGAGGAGATCTTTCGAAATATTGGAGAACCGTGCTTTCAGAGCTGGGCTTATAATTATGAGGTGGTTCTAGGTCTAGAAGGACGAAGAAGTACTGTCAAATGCTTAACGAGAGTGAGAAAGAAACACTGATGTACTCGAAAACTCAAAATAACCGAGTTACTGACTGAAATAAGGGGCGTAGCTTAAAGTCAAGGCGACTCGTCCTTCTCGTCAGTCTCTCGGTTATTCTGATCAGTTACTTGCTTATTTCAGTTTTTCGAATAGAAAGAAGGGCGAAGAAGTACAACGGAAATTTAGTTGAACTAATCGTAGTTGTGTCAGGTCGTTCTTCTTAGAAGGAGGCTCGATGTGAAGGATCTATATCAACCATGATTCGGCATCATTTTTGTTTGTCTCTAGTATCTCTAGCTGTAGTAGAATTGATGCACCGCTTGCATTTCGGTATATTGTGTTTTGGCTTGCAAACATTAAATATCTTCTAATACGCCAACATTTCCACTTGTCTTTTTGCGCATGGGCAGACGTCTACGGGTAAGACCTACTCGATTATAGGAGATGTAAGCAGTGCGGCCAAGGGCACCTTGGAGTCGCCTGGAGCAACGCCGCTAGCAGCGTTTCCGCACGCTGGTAAGAAGAATGATTTTTATTCTGTCGTGGTTACTTTACTTGCAGAAGAACAAGGGTGAATACAATGATGGGTAAGATGAACTAATGTACTGCAGAGTAAGTACTAACTACTTCATCTCCTCTATCTTGGGGTCAAAGTAGAACTTTAGTAACAAGAATACTGAGAGCATACGAGGCAGCCTAAAATCACTGTAGTGGTCACATTTTCTTTTTCTATCACACTTGTCGATCAAAGCAACTTGCTAACAGGTCTTTTACCTCGCATCCTCTGGCGATTTTTTGAGAGTTTCTCTTGTTTGGGTATCAGCATTCTGGAAATCTACCGAGAACAAATTCACGACCTTCTGAATCGTAGGGCTTCCGTGAAATGCTATAGTAGTTCAGCCCAAACGATAAAGCATAGTGTCGTGAAAATCAACACCTACAATTACCGTAGCGCTTTACGTCTAGTGGAGCGAGGGAACCGACACAGAGTGGAGGTAATGTTTTTGCGCAAATTTGTTTTTGTATCTAAAGAATTCGTATCTACTAGTACTAAAACTAGAATTACTGAAAGTTTGCGCCACTTGTTTCGGCTTGTTTTCCCAGGCCAAAACCCTTATTTTCTGAGGCCAAAACGACCGAACTGAGCCTCACTTTCCGAAACCCTTTTACTTTCACACGACTCCCTCTTACTTTTTCAGGCCAAGACCGCTCTAAACGCTTCATCGTCGCGTGGGCATCTTATAATCATTTTAGAATACATGGGGGAAACCCTGTGCATTGTTGATTTGGTTATGGGTACCGTCAACCCAACTTTTACACCATCTCGCAGCCAATTCCTTCTTGGAACAAGCTCAAGGGTTTACTAAAAGATGGGTTGACGTTGCCGCTAATTTGGCGGGTAAGGAGACAGAGGCGGGAATACATAGTTTCCGTCATGTAGTGGAAGAAACGAATCGGCGTAGAAGCCTGCGTAGTATGAGAGACGAGTTCGCAAGAAGCCAGTCTGGAGGAGCACAATCACGACTGCTCCCGCACAACCTACAGCCAGATTATCGACGAGATTATGATGAGGAGGTCGTTCACTTTTATCATCAAATATGAAAGACGGCACAGGGAGAACCATCAACTCATGTATTTTTTTTAGTGCCGTGGTGGTTGAAAGAATATTGCGACCTTTAGTTGCTGGTGATCAACAGCTGGTAAAGACGAGTGATCACTTTATATGCAATGGCGACGTTAATAGTCGAAGGTCCTTGTTATAGTTTAGCATTATTTTTTAGAGTTTGCTTGGACTCTCTCTGAAGTAGAATACTTAAATACGTTCAAACTAGCCTGATATGGTTCTTATTTTGCAGCAAGCTTCTTGCTGATTTTGAAGCAGTTTTGTGCTTGTAAGCTAGAGCGATTGCGTTGCTCATTGGATGCATACGGGATGTACTGAAGGTGTCTTAATCAAGAGCAGTGATGTACCTTGAAACTTTGATGCAAATAGTAAGATGAAACCCGATCCAAACTTCTGCAATTCAGTGTCAGGTGGGACATCATCAACACAAAAAGTTGAATTTTCGAAATTTAGTTTGAGCGTAAATGCAGCTCATTGGATTTGAATTCATTCAAAACGAGATAAAGTCAAAATTTCTTTGATAATTGACTCGTTTTCAATGAATATAAATCCAGTCAGCTCCAATTGTACGCAGAAGTAAAAAGGACAAATTCTGGTGATGAGAACAAAGCAACGTGGGACTATCTATTTTCTTTTAGATCAAAAACAAAATCTAGTGTTCAGATCCAATATTCTATCTAGTAGAGTACAGAAGCTTTTCCTTAGCACTATGAGTAGTCTTTTTTGAATTGGTTGTCTGCTAGTAGGACTGCTACTACCAAAAATAGTACTTCCTTGCTGAGTTTTTACTGACCACCGCATACCGCTGCTGCTAAGTAAAAAGTGTTCGCATCGTTAACCTATCACGTCCTATCCTATCCTATGTATCCTATCCTATGTATCCTATCCTATGTATCCTATCCTATGTATCCTATCCTATCATCATTATTCTACTTGCTACTATCGTCTAAAGTAAAGACGAAGGAGGTGCTGCTACGCTGCCCCAGTCACCTGAGAACTACATGCTACATGGTGGAGATTCGCTATCGAAGGCGTCGCCAGGAGGATCCTCACTCTCAGTTTTATGTCAGCATTTGCATCATCATGATCTTCATCATATGAGTATGTGGTGATACAACGTTATTCCAGTACTAGAAATAAGCTTTTTACCTACTTGTCTGCGAAATAAGAAAGATCTTGTCTCAACAGCCCGGACGAAGAGACTTCCTTCAGGCTCGTCGAGTTGTAACTAAAGTACTAGGACTCGATACATAGATGCTGTAGACCAGCATGCAATCTCTAAGAAGAACAAGTACGAGCCGCGGGCGTTTCAACCAACGAAGCACTAGTCGTAGTACCGCAGCTTCCACTGCGACCACGCTGCAGAGGAACAACATTCGAGGTGCAGGAGGATCATCTCGCGCATCCAGCCTGGGCGGTCGTGGTTATCGTCGGGGAACGTCTCTTGGCGCGACTTCGCGAAGCAACAAGCGGGTCCACAACAGCACTGCTGCTGTTGTTTCTTCGTCCTCCTCTGATCCAGTACGCCTGTTGGAGCTCAAATTCATCAACAAAAGCCTCTTTCACTTAAGGCTAGTTTATCACTATCCCAAATAACCGTTTCATTTTTGGCTCATATTCTTCCTCAGTTGGTCGTGCCGCCAGTCAAACTCTATTCCTGAGTTGAATCCCCCTCCGTTTAAAAGGGGAGAACTGACCTCAAAAGAATAGTAGAAAGCAACTCATTCAAGAATCAGGGATAGTGAAAAATTAAAGCTAATGCAGCTCTCGGAGGTTATCCAAGGACTGCGCAAAGGGCAAAAGGTCTGTTTCCGGAACTCCAAACTGACCTATCTCCTCCAAGACTGGTTAGCGAGTAAACAGGTGTACTTTTAAGGCGTCAAATTTAGTAGTAAACAAGCTCTTCATGATACCAATATTTTGTTCCTTTTTTGGCGGAACAACTAGATCGGACGAAACAGATCACTTGACTTCTGAATCACCCACGACAATGATTGGAATAATATACAAACCACTTCTTTGATGAACACTACTCAAATCTTCTCAATGGAATAAACAAACCACTTTGTTGATGAATACTAGGAGTCAATTTTTCTTGAGATGGGGTCTTGAGATTGAGCATGCACGTACCGAAGTATATCCGAGATCTACACGACGAAGACTACCACTACTTCTTGTTGCACTCGTAGACGATGAACTTAACAACTGATGCATATTAACACCGCAATGATTGGCGTTCACCGTGTAGGTGAAGGCTTAGGTCCCGCGACGCTCAAAGCACTAAGCAAAGCGAACCCTTTAGTTTTCACCTCTGTAAAGTCTAGAAATATTTCGGAGACAATCTATTTGATATGATCTTTCGTTGTCGAGCAGGATCATTGTTCTACTAGAAACGAAAAAACCCTATTTTTAGCCACCGATTAGTTGAACAATACCTTTCTAATATTCGTTGGCTACTATTTCGCCGAGTGAGTTGTGTTTCGAGGAGTCTCTGGCGACGCTGCGTTTCGCTGATGCAGTGACAAATTTGCCCAAAGTTCGGAATCGCCGCCTAGAAGAGTTTCAGAGAGAAGCGGCACAACTACGTATGGAGATGGACGACAACGATTCCTCGTGTGCAAGTGCTAATGGGGACGAGACCACGATCCTGATTTTAAGGCTCAACTTTCATTGGTCCTTATTTAGATGGCTGGGGTCACTGAGAGCGAAGAGGCGCCCCTGTGAGATAACAAGGGAAAACAAGTTGAGAGGTGTGGGGCCCCTTTCGTTCAGAGTCAGTGACCAGTGAGTGCTGGCCTCTAATGGTTGCGCCGAGGCTGACACCAGCACAATTGCAGGCAACGCGAGTGAAAACGATAGAAAGATGTGCCGACAGTGGTCTGTTGCTGCCCTCGTGAGGAGGTGTTTGATAGATTGTATCTGTAACATCTCTACGGAGTTACTTTCTAGTTAGGTGCTCCACCAGAATTATTACAGTCGTTTATCTGAAGACACTCACGCACGCCAGTCGTTCAGTCGTTGTAGCTGTAATTGAGTTAGTGTTTTATTCACACACGAGAGGCAGAAACGATAGGGAGGACTGATTTCACACGCTTGACACGTACACGTTAAGACACTAGAAGCACAAATAACAGGGACTCATCTCGCGCCTCTCCTTGACACGTTATAGAAATTACATTCGTTCATATTGATATCTTGTCTACCTGATAAAATATAATTTTATTTATGTGATTTTTTTTCGCTCAGCACATTCAGGACTCACAGTTGCTGAACATCCATACACCGAGGATATGCCGCATACTAGCCTCCAGAGCACACGGGTGAGATGAAATATAGAAAATGACTGACGAGATATCGTCTATCAAGTTATGTAATTTTTGCCAACCAGCAGATGTAGAATGGTTTTCTTCTAGTGAAGATTGGTTCTGAGTAAGAAGTGAACACTCATCCTCGAGGGGGGTACTAGGTATCATGAGACTAGGTTGTAGCTACATGATGGCTTTGAGTAACACGTTGACGTACAAAAGTTATAGAAGGTAGCTACTGAAGGTTTATCTTGTCATCCGCACTCATCAAAAACAGCTAAAAACAGTGTACTTAGAAATCAGGAATTTAGCCATTAATGGAAGTACCCAAATGCAGTACCCAAAGTGAGGAAGTAAGTAAGCCGAAGTACCCATAGGTTATCCTAATAGAGTGACTCAATGAATGACTCAGACAGGAATAAGTTGCATCGCCCTACAAAGCCCATCTTCATGACAAAAGAATACTATTGCACCATGTTGCTTGCTTTGGTATCGTGGCAATCGGCCCGTATGTCGATCAACGTGCTGCGAGGATACACGGCGCCCGGACTGGCCACGTGGCTGCGCGCCTGGTCCTTGGTGTTTCCTGTGCTGTTAGGCGTGAAGCTCTGCATACACTTTCTGGCCTCTCCTCCTACCTCAAATTGTATCAACAACGGGCGGCCACTTTCTTGGACTGCGCCCTGCGTGGCCCTTCTACCAGCTTCCGCCCCTCGCTACTGGCGCGACACGATTGGCTTCGCCCCACTCCCGTGGCGGGGCCACCTACCGACGCCCGCCCGGTCTCCTGCAGCGAACCCGAATCGCACACCTTGGCTAGCGGTAGCGCGCGAGCCTCTGCCGGCGCCGCTTTGGCTAAACTCGCGGACAACCACTACGCCTGTGCCGCGCGTGCTGGAACTATCTGGCGTGGCGCCTGCGTTGCTCCCGCTGCCTCCTGTGCGTGAGTCTGGGCCACACACGGCGCCCGCCTTGACAGCCAGCCCGCTTGCGCATACGATGGCCCCGGAGCTCACAGACAACCAAGGCCGGCGCTTCCTTGCGGCTTGGGCTGCTGTTGGTGCTCATCTTTGAAGGGGTATCGGGTGGCCACCTGATC